ATTAAGGTCCCATGAACTGAGGGGTTTCCTTACTGGTGAAAAAACATAAAAGGCATTTGAGGAATGTTACCATAATGGGGTAGGAAGAAACTTTAGTTTTTCAACAGGGCCAGGTAAGGTATGATAAGGAGAAGGGGCTGAAGGTGCACTGTAAGGGTACATCTACACAGCAACATAATTTCAAAATAACTAGTGTTACTTCAAAATAACTTAGTCCACGACTACACAGCAGGCAGTTATTTTGACAATGTCAAAATACTGTCAAGCTGGAGGACTTTTCTGACTGCTGCAACCCTCACTATATGAGGAGTAAGGGAAGTCAGAGGAAGAGTGCTCTACTTCAAAATAAGCTATGCAATTGAAGCTCAATTTGCATAGCTTATTTCGAGTTAAGTCCTGCTGTGTAGCTGCACCCTTACAGAACTAATTTATACTGTTCATAACAAATCCTGAATATTTTGTATTTAGCAGTATAAATTTGCTCTACTTTGGATTAAAACATTTTCCTGCAATATCCAGAATGATTTCACTGTCTGACATCCACTCAGTCAAGCAGTGAGATGGAGACAGGCAGGATTTGGATGCAAGTTGTTCGTGATGTCTTGCAATATTAAGTGAGATAGAAGTGGGTGTTCAGTGAGTGAACGGATAATAGCATCAGCTCCAGGTAGCCAAAGCTCAGCCAAGAAGGAGCTATTATAAATGTGGCAGCATCCTATCGGCTCTTCCTTAGCACCCTGGGAAGCAGGGATTGGCTGATAAGCATACATCATCCCTAGGGATCAGTGAACGAGGAAGGTGTTCTGGAGCAGAACCTGACACACTTCTTGCTCTTGTCTGTTGTGAATAGTCTATTGAAGGATAATCCCCCTCCTAGAAAAGGCAGCAAAAACCAGAATCCTTGATCATCCACTGGTGGTGTGATGAAAAATGTCTGATATAGCAGACCAGCTGAGCATTGTGTAGACCTAGAAGACAGTTAATGCTAAATGCACCAAAATTCCATAGCCAAACCATATCCTTCTGCCACAAAATGGAGATGAATAGGCTGCTTCCTGCCTATTTACATAAAAAGTGGTCATTGTGTTGTATTTCATTATTTG